AAAAAAACTGCACTTCTGCCTTCCCAGGTTCCACGGTGAGGGGTATCAGGAGGGATATGCCGAAGGCAGCCACATTGGAATTGCTGAGGGAAGGAGGTACGGAGCGCTCCACGGCGCCAAGGTCGGGTCGGAGGTAAATGGGAAAATGCTTCAGGGTTGCAATGTCTTTGTCACTGGGAAATCACTGTAACACAGCAGCTGTTGGGCAAGGCCTGAAATCATCATCAGTCTGAGGTTACACTGCCCCATAAAAGTGGTTTAATGGTGGTATTTTGATTTGAAGAGTTGAGTGGGTGTGTTTATGTTTTTTAAGCTTATTTGCTATGTGGAACTTCGGTGGGGCTTTTTTTTTTTCTGAAAGGATAAGAAGAAACAAAGAAATTCAAACAAGCTTGCTCAGAAAAACATTATGAACTGCACATTTATTTTTGTATCCCAAAATTGTGTCTAAAGGCCCCCCTGTGCCATCTCCTGTGGCTCAACATAGGGGAAAAACGTGGAATCTTGAGACACTTTGGATGGAGAATCATGAAGGGGTGATTCTGTGATTCCCGAATCAGTAACCATTCCTAGAAATTCCAGGGGTGGAGGGTGGTGCTGAGGCACTTCAACTTGTCCCATATATCCAGCTCCAGTCTGTCATAGCACAGAGTGCTGTGTAATTGTAGTTCCAGGATTCTTTAGACCTGAGAATTTTTACAGCTCTGCTGGGAAGCTGTACTGCAGTTTTCGTGGCAGGCCCCATTCCAAGCAGAGCACCACCCATCTAAATCTGTTGGATCTGTTGAAGACCTCTGGGTAATCTGGCAGTTTGCCCTTTTGGTATTTTCAGGTTTCAGAAGGTTAATTGCCTGCAGAAGGAACAGTGGCAATGGCATTAATCCGTTTTGTAATGAAAAAAAAAAGTAAACTCAAAGCAGAAAGAATGGCCATCACAAAATTTTGGGTTGCATTTGGGCATGATACAGAGGGGTGCAGTGATTGGATATTTTTCCCATTTACACTCCAGTGATGTAGTTCTATCATTGTATAATGAGATGTTAAACAGGAGTCTCCAAAGCTGGATAGTTTTATACAAAATGGTCCCAGACAGACCATAATAGAGAATTGCTCTAATCTGCTTGTATTGGGAAAGCTCCAGAGGGCAGTAGGATTATACAGTTAAATTAGAGGGTGACTTGGGTAACCTTAGACCTGTCAGTCTGTTTTGTGTCTTGGGTAGAATCTGGATGATTGCTGATCTGATGCTGGCCTTGGTTGATAGTGAATTCAAGTAAAACATTGTAATTAAAGTGTGTCTGTCCTTGGACTTAATCTCTCAAAGTCAGCTGACTTCTGGTTTTGGCTGTCTGTGTTGTTTTTGTGTGAATGCTGAGTCACTTTTGAAAGGCACTTCAGCCGACTTGTCCAGTTGGTGCATTGAAGGACTTCCCCATATTCCTGTTTCATTTGGTGTCCAGAGTTGTACTGAAGAGTTCTGGCAGCAGGGCTCAGGCAGCTCCTCCTGCTTCTTTCTGATTCCTCTTCAGTTGGGCTGATAAAGTTGTTTATGTATTAAATCAAAAAAAAGTGTGGTTTCCTCCCTGACTTGAGGGCTCCCTCAGTCCCTGGTACCTTTTCATAGGGCTGTGCATGGGCTGCTTTAACTCAGAACTGCTGCAAAAACAAGCACCAAAACCTCTTAAATAGCTTGTTCTCTTAACTTTTCCCTGCTACTAGACTTCAATAAATTTGGGGGTTCAAAGCATGTAAAGCAGTGCTTGTGTTTTGCAGAATTGCTTTTCATGCTGCATTTTAAATATCTTGTCCTCTGATGCTGAACAACTTCTTACAAGAAGTTTTCTGACTTAGGTAACTCTCCTTCCCTAATTTAGTGAACTTTCCAGTGTGTGTATCCAGAGTTGTTTTTTTCCTGAAGAACAGAATACAATGTTGTGCTTTACTGTTGTTTGACCATATAATCTGTTTGATTTTTGGGACTTTTTTCCCCTCATGACACTCTTTTAAATTCACAGATTGGCTGCTACCTTGGGTTTGCACTGACATGGCACTGTCTGCTCCAGAAATGCACAGATGAAAAGAGCAGGTAAGGCTAAAAAGGTCAAAAGTAATTTTTTTTTCTGTGACTTTCATTCTTTTCTTTGTATCTTTTTTTTTTTTTCTGTCCAGTTTTCAGCCATTTTGATATGTGTTCTGGTAAGCTTTTTTTTACTGCATTTCTTCATTTCTCCCAGTATTTCTAATTTCTCTCGAGTATTTCTAATAAATACTTCTGAGGATTCTTGAATATTTCTCAATTTTGGGCAGGTGAGTTAAAAAGGAAACCTTAACTTTTGTCAGTTGTGCTGCAGCTTAATTTCTGATTATGGCTTAAATGTGTATTAAACACACACTGTCAGTGAGCTGAATGGGAGAAGTTGAATTAAAGAAGGATGGAGGGCTGGGTTCTATGCTCTGAATTATTAATTCAAAAATCAATATAATTTCATATTGATGGATTGAAAAAAAAACTTCTGTAGTAGCGTGGTTGGCTCTTCTGCTTGGATTTGATTTATTTTTGTTGTTTTTTTTTTCCCTAGCAAAAAGATAAGGGCTCTGGAGTCATTAATAGGGATGATTCAGAAATTCCCATATGAAGACCCCACTTATGATAAGCTGCAGGAAGATCTGGAAAAAATCAGAGGAAAATTTAAACAGGTTCGTAGGATTAAGTTGTTATTTTATTTAGCACATTGATTAATTTCTGAATATATTTAGTTTCTAAACCCACTCCAAAACATGGTATTTGTGTGGAGCAATCATTCCCCTGCTGCAGTCATAGTAAAATACTTGAAATGAAGTGAATTAAGTGAAAATACTTGATAGTTGAAAATTCCCCAACCAGTAGCAAATGAAAAATAAAAGAAGAAAATATTCTTTGAAAGGCAAGTTGAAGGTATTTTTTGACAATGAATTGCAAGTGGGACCAGAATAAGAGAAACTGGGAGTTTTGTTGAACATTCTTCTTGGAAAACAGACACTTTGAAACACTTCTGTGTATTTTTTTTTTAGGTTTGTTCAATGCTAAATATTCAGTCTGATTTTAGAATTGGTACTGAAAGATCTTCACTAACATTTTGAATACAACAGATGAAGATAAACGTGGATGACCAAAGAAAAAAAACATTAAAGAACAGAACTGGAAAAGTGGTTTTTTATCTATTTTTTATTTTTTTTAAAAAATCAAAATAGTGAAGTGGTGCTAAATATTAAAGGGCAAAGGGAAAACCATTGGACTTGTAGTGTGTCATTTAACATTTATTATCTCCAAGTTTTATTTAGGACCACTGAAACACTAGTGTGTAAACCTGTTGAATAGAAATATTTGCTTTAGTTCCTCAAAAGGAAAACACATGCATTTGCAAAGTTTCCTTATTTAAAGGATGTATTACGTTAATTAAAGATCTGTGTGTGCAGATTGTTGAATTTACACAATGTGTAGATGCTGTAGGTGAAGTAAAATATAATCAGTTCCCAGTTTTTGTGGGTAAAGGATAAAATGACAAATGAAGTCAGAAAGCAAAGGAGGAAGAATAAGATCCCTGCCCATAAATTAGCTGCAGCTCACAACGTGGAATTTGCACTTGGATTTTCCAATAGCTTTGGTAGGGGAAGAGAGGGATCTCCCAAACCCCCAAAATCTAAACCCCAAAAGGCAGCAATTTAAGTGATAGGTTAGAAAAACATGACTACCAGAAGAGCTGTGGTTGTAATTTAATGTATTTATTAGTACCTTTTATCACAGAGTGGCTTTTTTGTTTTCCAGTCTTGAAAATGAACCCTTTAGTCTCCTTCCAATAAATGGATGCTGTGAGCTAAATGTATTTAACTGTGTTAGTTGAAGAGAAATACAGCCAGTTATTGTACCTGAAAGATACTTTAAAGACATTTTTTTTTGTTTGTTTAATTGTTTTAAACATCTCTGATACATTCAGGGAGAGTCAGGGCCATCTAGTGGAGGAGAGAGCTGTGTAAGAAATAGATTATAAGAGCTCACAAATATATATATATGTATATAGATGAAGTTGTTGGAGAGTACAGAACACAAGCACTCATGACACAGCTCTCCTGATTATGTGGTGAATTCCTTTGGAATTAACTGGCATTAAGGTAGCATTCATTTGTTGCTTGTTTCCTCATTTGAGACCTTGGCAGGGCAGTTTAAAGTACAGTTGGCTTTTAATTTTTAAGCAGCCAAGCCACTGGGAACCAGAACAAGCACCAAACTGCCAGCACCTGAAAACAGAAGCAGAATAAAATCAATAATCTCAATAAGGAAATGGGCACAAACCAAAAAGATCACATTACTAGAGAGGACAGAGCTAATTTGACTTTATAATCACTTCAGAGAAATCCAGGTTTCAAAAAGTTGTCCCTTGTGCATCCACAAATGAGTTTATTTTTACAAAATGAAGTATTTTACCTGTTTACTTCAAATTAGTGAAAGGTGCCACTTATTCATCTGTGATGAACTTTTTTAGACCAAGATCCAGGGGGATTCAAAGCATAATTTGTGGTTTTCAGCAAAAGGTGTTTTGAGTCTGTTTTACTCTGAATGATAGTGCAAAGAGAAGTGAAACTAAATATTAATGTTTTTAAATGCAGCCTTTTTTGGAATCGCTGTGCTTGGTTTGCAAAAACATGTGTAAAAGCAAGGGGAAGGTTGTGAGAGGTCAAAGTATCTGTGAAGCATTTGGTTACTGGAAGTGTGTGATACCTCAGTGACATGCAAAGTGCTGCTCCAGAGATGGTTTCAAACAAAATTATTCCTGCTCAACTCAGGAGAAAAAGGATCTTTGGCCATCAAGTGGCCAGTGACTGTTATTTTGAAAATTGGTTTGGTGGCCGATTTTTCTTGTCTTGCTGTAATTTTATTTATAACAAAATCGTATTATTATGATAAATTATTATACAAATGTGTATATACACGTATTTAACAATAAATCTTGTGTCAACCAGGTTTTCAGGCTGGGATATATGAAGTTTAGGGTTGCCTAATAGGTCTTTAATTCAGTTTCATATGTGTGGACATACTGATGGAGCCTCTTATTCCACGAGTCTGTATTTTTCTGAATATCTTGTGTCATATCTTGTATGGGCCTGATTTGGTTTATTAAATGAGGTGCAGTTAAAGTTGCCTGTTGGATATGTAGTTGTGTGCTTTCTTAAACTGTTTTTTGCAACAGAGTTGTGGGGGTTTCTGTGAAGTTGTTCAGGGTTGTCACTGTGAAACATTCCCAACATACTATACAGGTATTTTTATCCCTTATTTACAGCTGAGGAGTTAAAGCCCGAGAAGATTGATTTGCCTTAACCAACGTGAGGTGTCTGATGTGAATTGCTGCAAATAATTCTGCCTTCTGAGGATTTAAATAGCTCAGAATCTGCTTCCTGGCAGCATCCAGAGTGGCTGAGCCCCCCAGCCTTGTTGCATGTTGGTGTTTTTTGCCTGTGTTTCTCAGCTCAGCCACATGGAAAATGAGGAACATTGCAGTCAGCAAACACCAGTGAAAGGTGTGGGCTCAACCCAGCTGAAGTGTTGCCGTGGAGGGGGGTGAAAAATCCATCAGAATTTCAAACCACTGTTGAATTTCATGAGATATAAGCTTGCTTTCAATCCTTTCCCTGCTCTGACATCTCCCTAAAATCCATCACAAACGGCTGCAAGTACAAGTGGGGTTTATTAGCTGACACCCTGGTTACTCCCCCCGAGTGTGGATGGTCGGGCCTGTGGTGGAAGCGCGTGTTCCCCTGGAATTCCAGAGCCTTCAGGGGGATGAGCAAAGCTGCTGTGGGCCCTGCTCATTCACACACTGCCTGCTTTAAATGCAATTTAAGTGCTGCTTTGAAGGCTGGGTGGAAAGGATATGGGGGGGTAAAAAAAATTGGTTGTTAATAAAGCAGGACACAGAGATCGTGGGTTTGTGTTGTCCAAGGAGCTGGGCATTCTGCAGGAGTTCAGTGTATTAAGGGCAGTTAAAATGGAAAATTTCTGCTAAAAATGCTGAAGTTAGTAAGACTTAAAAATAAACTGCTGTATTCACTCACCACCCCTAGTTATTGCTCAGTAGTTCGGGAGGAATGTTTGAAACACCGAACTCACAAATGTCTGACTTGCCTGGACTGCGTTCGAGCTTGTTTGGTTCCTTCCTGATCATCTCTCAGCTGAACCTGTGCAATATGGAATTTTATTAATTACTGCTAGGCTGCTGAAGTCATGGCAGTCCAGAAGACTTGTAATTTTCCTTTCTACAAGATGTGATGAGTGCAAGAAACAGTGAATTTTGAGGCATCGGCAGAGCAAGGTAAACTCTGGCCCCCGTTTGCTAAAGCTTGTGAGCACAATTCTCATTCTGCCTTCATACTTCCTTTCCATTTCTTGTCAACTGTAATGTGAAGGTGATCAAAATTCCAGCTTTGAATGAACAGCTGTAATCACCAGAAATGGGTGAAATAAATCAGAAAAAAAAATCTGTGGATGCAACTGTTTGCTTCAAAATCAACCCTGTGGAGGTAGTTTGGCTCATTTGAATCCCATTAACGTTTTGGTGAAACAAGGTTGTGATAATTTACACGTGGATGTGTGAGGAAAGTCTGGAATGCATTGGCTGGTTCTGTGACTCTTTGGTCTGATTGCTGTCAAGGTCTGAAAGTGTGTTTTAGTATGCACATAGAACCTGTTCAATGCCAGCTTGCTTTGTGGATAATCACCACTGAAGGAAGAAAAATAAAGACTGGTTTAAACTCTCTGGCTTTTTGTAGGGTTGTTTTTGGTGAGTAAACTACACATTTTGGTCTGTCTCTTCTGAAATGGTAGCACGTTTTTATCAGTCATTTTTTAAATAGGTTGTGTTGGGATGAAATGAGTTTTAATTTTCCAGTGGATCAAGTTTTGGTTTTCGAAGAGATGCAAGAGAGAGTTTAAACCTGCAGTGTATTTATGAGTGTTTATTTACACTTTGGCTGGAAATACAACTTCCTCTATTGGAATAAAGGGAGATCCATCTGTCAGAAGTCTGCCTGCACCCTAATATTCCACAGTGCTTTAGAGTAAGAGCTGATACCCTTTTAAGGTACAGAAAGAGATCAAATAATCTGAATTGTTGAGGTTTTAAATCCATAAGTCATGTTCTGTTGGCATCTTTTCTGTATGCACTTACATCCCTTTTTGAATATAAAGTTTTAGGGCTTATCTCCACAAAAGGTATTATTAAAAAAAGCATTAAAAATGGAATCTTTGACTTATAATAATAATGCAACTACAGGCATGGATCTGATACTTTTTTGTTTGCTCACAAGCTGTCAACAACATTGTGTTGGATACAGCCTTCTATCTGAAGTTCTGATTTAATGATCTGAGATTCTTTTCTGGTGTTGTTCTCAATATAAAAGTGGGTGCCTTGTCCCTGCGTGGCTTGTTTGAACATTTGTAGGGTTTTTAATGATGTCCTGTAATTACAGGAGAGTAATAATTAAAAATAAAAAACCCCAGCGTTGCATGCTGGAAAGGGAATGTTGGTGATGCTAATTAACACCATTTTCTGGAGATAAAGGTGTGGGTAAGCAAGGTGAGGATAAGGCTCCATGCCAGGGTAGTTGCTTTCTTAATTTCTGCAGGGATAGCAGCACGAAGCACTACATGTTTTTGAGAAAGAGCTGATGTGTTATACTTTGAAATCTACTGGAATATTAGAATTACCTGAGGTCCCCCTGGATGAGAATCCTTATTTCTGGTTTTCTCTGATTTTTCTTTGTTCAGGTCACTCCAGAGTTATAGAGCGATGTGTGTGGGGTATAATATCTCACCCTGATTAAACAGAAAGGCTTTGGTTTGAAACAAAAGGCTTAGTATTTTTGGTAATGTTATAATTCTTTATGTTCTTGGTGCTATAAATGTTAGTGCCTTTTGAATACTTGCCCTTTGCAACTTCTCCTGGCCGTGAATTCTGGTCTAATTACAGCCTAAAACTCCAGCTTCCATAGCTTGGCAAGTAACCATGAAGATTCTCATTTTACAGTCTGCCAGAGCTGTTTTTTTAATGGATAAAGTTGTGACAGCACACATTACCACAGGAGTGTACATATCACCAGAGAAAATGGGGATTGGGGAGCTGTGAAAAGAGTCCTGCAGCAAGTGTCCAGTTGCAGGTTTTGGTGTCCAACTGGAGCAATCCACTGCTGAAGTGCTCTGGTGTGTCCCAGTGCTTGGAATTGCAGGACCAGCCTGG